ACACATACTGATAGTGGTGTACACACATACTGATAGTGGTGTACACACATACTGATAGTGGTCATGTACACACATACTGATAGTGGTGTACACACATACTGATAGTGGTCATGTACACACATACTGATAGTGGTGTACACACATACTGATAGTGGTCATGTACACACATACTGATAGTGGTGTACACACATACTGATAGTGGTGTACACACATACTGATAGTGGTCATGTACACACATACTGATAGTGATGTACACACATACTGATAGTGGTGTACACACATACTGATAGTGGTCATGTACACACATACTGATAGTGGTGTACACACATACTGATAGTGGTGTACACACATACTGATAGTGGTGTACACACATACTGATAGTGGTGTACACACATACTGATAGTGGTGTACACACATACTGATAGTGGTCATGTACACACATACTGATAGTGGTGTACACACATACTGATAGTGGTCATGTACACACATACTGATAGTGGTGTACACACATACTGATAGTGATCATGTACACACATACTGATAGTGGTGTACACACATACTGATAGTGGTGTACACACATACTGATAGTGGTCATGTACACACATACTGATAGTGGTGTACACACATACTGATAGTGGTCATGTACACACATACTGATAGTGTTCATGTACACACATACTGATAGTGGTGTACACACATACTGATAGTGGTCATGTACACACATACTGATAGTGGACATGTACACACATACTGATAGTGGTGTACACACATACTGTTAGTGGTGTTCACACATACTGATAGTGGTGTACACACATACTGATAGTGGTCATGTACACACATACTGATAGTGGTCATGTACACACATACTGATAGTGGTGTACACACATACTGATAGTGGTGTACACACATACTGATAGTGGTGTACACACATACTGATAGTGGTCATGTACACACATACTGATAGTGGTCATGTACACACATACTGATAGTGGTCATGTACACACATACTGATAGTGGTGTACACACATACTGATAGTGGTGTACACACATACTGATAGTGGTGTACACACATACTGATAGTGGTCATGTACACACATACTGATAGTGGTCATGTACACACATACTGATAGTGGTCATGTACACACATACTGATAGTGGTGTACACACATACTGATAGTGGTGTACACACATACTGATAGTGGTGTACACACATACTGATAGTGGTGTACACACATACTGATAGTGGTCATGTACACACATACTGATAGTGGTCATGTACACACATACTGATAGTGGTCATGTACACACATACTGATAGTGGTCATGTACACACATACTGATAGTGGTGTACACACATACTGATAGTGGTGTACACACATACTGATAGTGGTGTACACACATACTGATAGTGGTCATGTACACACATACTGATAGTGGTGTACACACATACTGATAGTGGTGTACACACATACTGATAGTGGTGTACACACATACTGATAGTGGTGTACACACATACTGATAGTGGTGTACACACATACTGATAGTGGTCATGTACACACATACTGATAGTGGTCATGTACACACATACTGATAGTGGTGTACACACATACTGATAGTGGTGTACACACATACTGATAGTGGTGTACACACATACTGATAGTGGTCATGTACACACATACTGATAGTGGTCATGTACACACATACTGATAGTGGTGTACACACATACTGATAGTGGTCATGTACACACATACTGATAGTGGTCATGTACACACATACTGATAGTGATGTACACACATACTGATAGTGGTGTACACACATACTGATAGTGGTGTACACACATACTGATAGTGGTGTACACACATACTGATAGTGGTGTACACACATACTGATAGTGGTCATGTACACACATACTGATAGTGGTGTACACACATACTGATAGTGGTGTACACACATACTGATAGTGGTGTACACACATACTGATAGTGGTGTACACACATACTGATAGTGGTGTACACACATACTGATAGTGGTCATGTACACACATACTGATAGTGGTCATGTACACACATACTGATAGTGGTGTACACACATACTGATAGTGGTCATGTACACACATACTGATAGTGGTGTACACACATACTGATAGTGGTGTACACACATACTGATAGTGGTCATGTACACACATACTGATAGTGGTCATGTACACACATACTGATAGTGGTGTACACACATACTGATAGTGGTGTACACACATACTGATAGTGGTCATGTACACACATACTGATAGTGGTCATGTACACACATACTGATAGTGGTGTACACACATACTGATAGTGGTGTACACACATACTGATAGTGGTGTACACACATACTGATAGTGGTCATGTACACACATACTGATAGTGGTGTACACACATACTGATAGTGGTGTACACACATACTGATAGTGGTCATGTACACACATACTGATAGTGGTCATGTACACACATACTGATAGTGGTGTACACACATACTGATAGTGGTCATGTACACACATACTGATAGTGGTCATGTACACACATACTGATAGTGGTGTACACACATACTGATAGTGGTGTACACACATACTGATAGTGGTGTACACACATACTGATAGTGGTGTACACACATACTGATAGTGGTCATGTACACACATACTGATAGTGATGTACACACATACTGATAGTGATCATGTACACACATACTGATAGTGGTGTACACACATACTGATAGTGGTCATGTACACACATACTGATAGTGATGTACACACATACTGATAGTGGTGTACACACATACTGATAGTGGTCATGTACACACATACTGATAGTGGTCATGTACACACATACTGATAGTGGTGTACACACATACTGATAGTGGTGTACACACATACTGATAGTGGTCATGTACACACATACTGATAGTGGTCATGTACACACATACTGATAGTGATGTACACACATACTGATAGTGGTGTACACACATACTGATAGTGGTCATGTACACACATACTGATAGTGGTCATGTACACACATACTGATAGTGGTGTACACACATACTGATAGTGGTGTACACACATACTGATAGTGGTCATGTACACACATACTGATAGTGGTGTACACACATACTGATAGTGGTGTACACACATACTGATAGTGGTGTACACACATACTGATAGTGATCATGTACACACATACTGATAGTGGTGTACACTATCATAATAGTAATACACTTTGTTGACCAGACAACTGAGAAAGTCTTGCTCTGTACGGCTCCATGTTATTCAAATCTTCTACCTCCACCAGCAATGGTTAACAACAATGGTTCATGCATCTAACTTTCACATATATTGAAGTAAATACTGTTTGTGACATAAATTGAGGTCGTTTAACCTAACACCACCCCACATCAATTACAGTTAAAAATAGTCCAGGAGCGTCCAGATTCCTTTCCCTGTCTCCACCATCACCACACACAGAAGACAGATAAATCTATAAATAGCAATCCTTAAGCCAGAATAGCTTTTGGTGTTGGATACAATTGCTGAAAGCAGCTGGCCTTGTGCTGTTCTGTGCATCGCGCGATTGATTGTGGCGCTCCTCAAGGGTTTGCAACAGTAATAATAACGAGGATTACTTGTTTGGGACATGCATGACCTTTACCCAATATGAAACTAGAGCTACAGGAAACATGGCAATCCTCATTCACACTTATATTACCAATATCAGTTTCAAATGCACAGTCATACATTTCATGACATATTCCAAAATCATTGAATCTGATTAATGACCTGGTTCCACATACTTCAACCTCATAGCTTGGCAATACAAACAGGAAGTCAAGGTCGTACCATTTGAAACGTACAACTCAGTTCCAGTATTGTCTAACATAGATTGGAAAGTGTGAAGTAGTGCTCTACAGAATCATGTTTACAGAAATATGTGTGGTGTGTAGGTAGATATATGTGTGGTGTAGGTAGAAATATGTGTGGTGTAGGTAGAAATATGTGTGGTGTAGGTAGAAATATATGTGGTTTGTAGGTAGAAATATGTGTGGTGTGTAGGTAGAGATATGTGTGGTGTGTAGGTAGAAATATGTGTGGTGTGTAGGTAGAAATATGTGTGGTGTAGGTAGAAATATGTGTGGTGTAGGTAGAAATATGTGTGGTGTGTAGGTAGAGATATGTGTGGTGTGTAGGTAGAGATATGTGTGGTGTTGGTAGAAATATGTGTGGTGTAGGTAGAAATATGTATGGTGTAGGTAGAAATATGTGTGGTGTGTAGGTAGAAATATGTGTGGTGTAGGTAGAAATATGTTTGGTGTAGGTAGAAATATGTGTGGTGTGTAGGTAGAAATATGTGTGGTGTAGGTAGAAATATGTGTGGTGTGTAGGTAGAAATATGTGTGGTGTAGGTAGAAATATGTGTGGTGTGTAGGTAGAAATATGTGTGGTGTAGGTAGAAATATATGTGATGTGTAGGTAGAAATATGTGTGGTGTAGGTAGAAATATGTGTGGTGTAGGTAGAAATTATAGATTAACCCACGAGGTACGAGTGATTATGGAAAATATGTCACGAGTGAAATTAATGTTTTAAGTTCTGAGCTTTAGCGAGGAACTTAAAACATTAATTTCATGAGTGACATATTTTCCGTAATCACTCGTACTGAGTGGGTTATTCTATTTATTACCCATATTCATATTAAAGACATGTTTCAGGAAAAAAACAATCAACTGTCGCCGATCAAGAATCAGCTGTTTTGTATCAATCCGCGTGTGAAAAAACACTGTCCACTCACTCCAACCGCATTACTCAATCAACGTCTTGCTATGCGTAAAAATATAGTTCTGTTAACAAAACTTGAAAGATCACATTATTGCAGTTATATTTCTGTCTGAGTTACACAGCGTACACTATCTAGCATTGATAAAAGAAGACAATTTTCAAAAAAGGTTCAACAGGCTTTTTAATCAAGGCTTGTTTTGACAAGACCTCTCATTGACAAGACAACAGCCGTCGTGCATCAGCATGGACATGAATTTCAAATTGAGAAGAGGAAACACGGAAAACCTGTCAATTTTTTCATGTGTCATTCGGTAAAAATTCAAAAACCTGTATCAACAACATAGAAGGAATGTACAGAAGTCATGTTTGATTGAGAAAAGTTACGACAAGTAGGTAAACTTTGAAAAATACGATTGCTGTCAGTGTCGGAAAGAATGACCCGACTTGACCCAGATATGAGACAGCCGAAACCAGGAATGACAAGAGAACCGGTGTTACAGTTTAATCCGGACAACAAGTTTAATGAACATCGTTTGTGATTTGAGACAAGTGTGACTGATGGGAAACATGTGCATGTGGGATTTTAGGAGGACTTGTCAAACGCACTTGTGGAGTGGTCACAGTCAGATGACGGGAGTTTGTTGATATTTTGATGTGTTTCATAATGGTCGAATACCTGTTGATAGACTAACACGGTATCTGGAGACTTAGTGACAAGCTGTCCGCATTCACAGAGTTCATTTAGTTCAATGTCGGACACAGGATCACCTCGCTGGGGTAAGTTTTCTTTTCCTTGTATTTTTAATTATTTTTGTTTTGATTTCAAAACCTATTTGAGTTCAGCAAAGTGCATCGATTTCGCAGCCAGATGTTGGTAATCTTGTCGCTAAGGTAGCACTCGGTGCTACCCTTGATCTCCTTCAAAGTAGGCATTTCGAATTCTGAACCGTCTGATGTGCATGCCGAAATGATAAATTTGCAAAGAATAATGTTTAGATGCACCTTTCCTGTGTCATTAACACTCATAGTCTTATGGTGCCCGGACGTCAGTCAGCCTGCATACCGCTCAGCGCCGTACTGTGCTGACGTCGAGGTTACAAAAACGTATAGATCTAGTCTACATTGTATAAAAAAGTGTCGCGTTCTTATTTCTTCACACAATGTTACAAACTTAAATTCTACGAAATGGCGTATGTTTATAATGTCTTTCGGAAAGTCTAACTGTTGTTGCAAAAGGAATTTGTTTTTATTCTTATGCCATCATTGAAAGTGTGAGTAGTTTTATTTTTTGTGTTTTTCTTACCAGTATAAATTTGTCATGTCAACTTGTCAAATTTAGTCTTTTTCATTGTGTTTTCCTTTTCATTGGCAGTTATCGATGTCATCATCATTCACAAAGGCAAACCTGTCTATACAAAGTCCGGTTTTGGGGATTCGTGTGGTCGAAAGATTTGCCAAACAGCAAGTCCTCTAACACAGACGCAAATCTGAATCTTGGAACTTCAATCTGGCCATATGCAGTTTTGACAACAAAGACATTAAATGTGTTCAGAGGTTGAATTATGCGAATAACTCTTCCTGTCAGAGCTCCGTCTACTTTAATGAGGTCATTTAGTTTGACAGGTGTCAAATGGTCAGCCATGTTTGTTTACAAACAATGCAGACGTAGTTTTGTTTTTTGTAATTACGCTTATTGTAAACTAAAACTCGTGCGAAATAAATGCTTTATTCATTATAATGTGAAATCATTTGGTTGATATAAAACTATGTTCTAGTCTTATAAATCTCGATTAAGTGAGATTGTAGCACGTAAAACATGTGAATGAATGCCCTGGATTTGTGATTGAACTCAATGAGAGAAAAATAGTCCCGTCGACCAATGAAAATTGACATTTGTTTAACTGACCAATCAGCTTCTAGAATCACTAATTGCACACTGTGCAAATATCAAAAAGTTATTACACTGCATATTTGAGCCCATATGGGTAATAATATATGTGATGTGTAGGTAGAAATATGTGTGGTGTGTAGGTAGATATATGTGTGGTGTAGGTGGAGATATGTGGTGTGTAGGTGGAGATATGTGCTGTGTAGGTGGAGATATGTGCTGTGTAGGTGGAGATATGTGCTGTGTAGGTGGAGATATGTGCTGTGTAGGTGGAGATATGTGCTGTGTAGGTGGAGATATGTAGGTCCACACAGACTGGAGGTGTGTACAGATACAGAATCAATGTTTTACAGCATGGTTTCTGACTGTTGGCATGGATCCAGCAGAGTCTTGACTCAGGCTGTCTGGTGTTCGCCATTCATTCTCTCCTTGCTGCTATGATCATCACACTTCCACAATCAACTTCACCCATTTCAATCAAGGCCAGACAAATTCTTAACTAATTATTGGAACATGGACTGAACTTGGCTGGTGAATCATTGTGAGTGTAGCCTGCTACTTCCCATGAAGGACTTAAGAACTTTACTTTCTAACAAGCAGAAGGATGAGGCTACTCCTCGTCAACACATAGGGTTAATCCCATATTGTTGCTTATGTCTACATACAACCTAGCAGTAAACTTACTCCAGACTTAATATGATTGAGGGGGGCACGGGTGGCCCAGTCTTCTAAGACGCCGCGGTTCGCTGTGCAGAGTTGCGTCCCTTGGGCACGCCAGAAACCTATGGTTGTGGGTTCGAATCCCGGTTCGCCCCGATTATGTTTCTAGGTTTGTCAGCACCATACCCGTGCTCATGGGTTTCACCGAAGTGGTAAACGCCTGAGACCTGCATCACTTCGGGCTTTCCTCCCACATTAAGCTGACACGCCGTGATATAACTAGAATAGTGTTAAAAGCGGCGTTAAACAAAACTCACTCACTCACTCACTAATATGATTGAGGAAGAGAACCCTCACATGAATTCACCGAAGTTTCATGATCAAAACTATGTTTTACTTGAAAACTCATTATTACTATTGTTTCAGTGGTGTTCAGGTGGTTAGGTGGTGATGTGTGACAGATTGTATATTAGGTGAGGTGAAATGGGGTTTAACGTCCTGTTCAAGAATATTGCACTTATATAGCGATGTGTATGCACATTTGTGTGTGTGTGTGTGTGCGTGCCTGTCTGCCTGCTTGAACTGACTAATGCTGATTTTATAGTGCTAGCCCAGTAAAAAACCATGCCACAGTTTTAACATGAATACCCCACTCAGACACAGTATACCGACTCCAGTCCTTGTTTAAGCCCCTAAATGCCAATCGCCTGGCAGGCTAACAACAAGTACCATCTTTTAACTTCCTGGTATGATGTGACCGGGGATTGAACCCACGACCTTCCGCTCTTCGGGTAGATGCTCTAAACCATTGAGGCGGTCAGATAGCATATTACTTCAGCTCATTGATATGATAAGTTCTTATCATTATATTATACATTTATATACCATACTTATCCAGATATTATTATCAGCTCAAATGCGGTTTATTTATTCCCCGACCAGTTGACCCATATGGATTCCACTTATCCTTCTCAACTCCCTGGGGAGAATACAACCCAAGCTGCCTACAAGCGCTAGAGGGTTTATCAATATCCACCTCAAATATTGGCACCCATTCCCTGCTGGGTGAATAGAGGCACATTTGAACTGAGTCACTTGGCCAGGGTGACACCACATGTTTTGTCACTTGTGTTTCGGGTGTATGAACATCTTTTGTGTTTCCAAACCTCTGGTCATCTAGCAAGTGATGAGTGGTTTCTTTTAAGTGCACAGGGTGAATGTACTGTACACCACGGGTATTAACACTGAAAAGACCGATAAATATTGTTGGTACATAAGCTGAATAACCACCGGGTCACAAGAGGATAATGTGGCAAGTACCATGTACTGTGGCAAGTGTCCTACAATGTACTGTGGCAAGTGCCCTACAATGTACTGTGGCAAGTGCCCTACAATGTACTGTGGCAAGTGTCCTACAATGTTGTACTGTGGCAAGTGTCCCTCCATGTTGCACTGTGGCAAGTGCCCCTCCATGCTGTACTGTGGCTAGTGTCCCTCCATGTTGTACTGTGGCAAGTGCCCCTCCATGTTGTACTGTGGCAAGTGCCCCTCCATGTTGTACTGTGGCAAGTGCCCCTCCATGTTGTACTGTGGCAAGTGCCCCTCCATGTTGTACTGTGGCAAGTGCCCCTCCATGTTGTACTGTGGCAAGTGTCCCTCCATGTTGTACTATGGCTAGTGTCCCACCATGTTGTACTGTGGCTAGTGTCCCTCCATGTTGTACTGTGGCAAGTGCCCCACCATGTTGTACTATGGCAAGTGTCCCACCATGTTGTACTGTGGCTAGTGTCCCACCATGTTGTACTGTGGCAAGTGTCCCTCCATGTTGTACTGTGGCAAGTGCCCCTCCATGTTGTACTGTGGCAAGTGCCCCTCCATGTTGTACTGTGGCAAGTGTCCCTCCATGTTGTACTGTGGCAAGTGCCCCTCCATGTTGTACTGTGGCAAGTGTCCCTCCATGTTGTACTGTGGCAAGTGCCCCTCCATGTTGTACTGTGGCTAGTGTCCCACCATGTTGTACTGTGGCAAGTGCCCCTCCATGTTGTACTGTGGCAAGTGCCCCTCCATGTTGTACTGTGGCAAGTGCCCCACCATGTTATACTGTGGCTAGTGTCCCACCATGTTGTTCTGTGGCTAGTGTCCCACCATGTTATACTGTGTCTTGCATGGTGGGAAGTGATCCTGTCTTGCATGGTGGGAAGTGATCCAGTCTTACAAGGTGGGAAGTGATCCAGTCTTACAAGGTGGGAATTGTTCCTGTGTTGCATGGTGGGAAGTGATCCAGTCTTGCATGGTGGGAATTGTTCCTGTGTTGCATGGTGGGAAGTGATCCAGTCTTGCAAGGTGGGAATTGTTCCAGTCTTGCATGGTGGGAATTGTTCCTGTGTTGCATGGTGGGAATTGTTCCTGTGTTGCATGGTGGGAATTGTTCCTGTGTTGCATGGTGGGAAGTGATCCAGTCTTGCATGGACGGAATTGTTCCTGTGTTGCATGGTGGGAATTGTTCCAGTCTTGCATTGTGAGAAGTGTTCCTGTGTTGCATGGTGGGAATTGTTCCTGTGTTGCATGGTGGGAATTGTTCCAGTCTTGCATTGTGAGAAGTGTCCCTGTGTTGCATTGTGAGAAGTGTTCCTGTGTTGCATTGTGAGAAGTGTCCCTGTGTTGCATGGTGGGAATTGTTCCTGTGTTGCATGGTGGGAATTGTTCCAGTCTTGCATGGTGGGAATTGTTCCTGTGTTGCATTGTGAGAAGTGTCCCTGTGTTGCATTGTGAGAAGTGTTCCTGTGTTGCATTGTGAGAAGTGTCCCTGTGTTGCATTGTGGGAAGTGTTCCTGTGTTGCATTGTGAGAAGTGTCCATGTGTATCATTGTGAGAAGTGTTCCTGTGTTGCATTGTGAGAAGTGTCCCTGTGTTGCATTGTGAGAAGTGTTCCTGTGATGCATTGTGAGAAGTGTCCCTGTGTTGCATTGTGGGAAGTGATCCAGTCTTGCATTGTGAGAAGTGTTCCTGTGTTGCAGGGGGAGCGTGACCCTGTGTTGCATTCTTGCTAGTGAGCAACAACATGTAATTCAAGATGTCCTGAAAACCCTTAGTCTCACAGTGATAAAAAAACATCCTGCCCCAGATTCTATTTCATTAACCTCAGCCTGTCATTATTCTTTTCTCTCTTAACCTCTAATCCAAACTTTTATGTAAATTACACTTGGATGAATGTTACAGTTGTTTTTTGTACACATTCATTTTATTCCATGTCAACTTTTTAAAGACTGATCAGACAACCCTTTGATTTTGCCCCTTGGACTATATCCATTCAATTATATCCACTATTTCCCTTAGCCTCAATGAATATATCCTCTATTTGTTATTGTTTGGAATACAACCAATGCACTTATCGTCACACTGTCAGGACATAAAGTCTTATCATTGACAAACTCAGAATCTGTGTCCACTTTGTGAATAAATTAGATCACTTATTTTTAAAATTAAATATCCACCAAATCACAAAAGGCTAAAACATTCAGAAAACATTATCTGTATGAAGTTCTAGCCAACTGAAGTTACTTATCTGAATAAATACAGTGACCTGAAAATACTTTCTAGCTATGGTCAATATTAAACATGTACATTCTATTTAACCATGTTACTAATGAAATCCTGTACTCAAAGAAAAAACTAAATTCTGGCATACATGAAAAATGTCATGTATATGGCAGAACACACATTGGTCATGTTTCATCTGTGAACCATTGCAAGAAAACCAGATCAAGGCAACAAACATTAGCGCAGCAACATAAAAACTCCCACTCTCAATACAATGATAATGAGAGGTTCATCTGCAATTACATCACCCTTGTGCGACTGAATTGTACCCTGTGGAAAAACACTTTGCAATCAATGCTGCATGACAACAATCACCTTCTACCAGTATATGTAGGAGAGCTACCCTCATTCACACTAGAACCTAGAACCAAAATTCAACTATAACCAAGCTAACTGGGACAAATTTCAGGATATCTGCAACCAAGCCAACCTAACCAAACTAGAAAATAAGGACCCAGAAATCTACTGCAAAAACCTAACAGACTACATAATCAACGCAGCCAAAGCATCAATACCTTATAAAACAAATAACGTAGGCAAACCCTCGGTACCATGGTGGAACGAGGAAATAGAACAAACTAGACGCAAAC